GATCGACCATCACGTGCCTTTCTTTTTATATGCCAGTGTAATTTTACTTAATTACAAAAAAATTGAATATTTTCCCTAACATTTCTACTTCAAGAGAAAAAACCTATAGTCATAAAGTTATTAAAAGAATCTTATGTGTCTCAATGTGATGTTACGCTTGGACAATTCGAATAGGTGCTCCTTCTCCCCTAGTACCGTTAGAGCATGGAATGGTTTGCATGAATCAGCCAGGAAAACCAGTGTTTATGTTACTAATGACTTGCATGACTAGATTGACATATGAAAAGCGTAAAACTAATTATGTTCTCTTTTAAAGTAACATCTGTGATTTATAAGATATTAAACAATAGTACATGCCAGACAATGTTTATGGTGACATAAAAACAACGTTTCTAAACCTGTGGAGTGCTTGCCCCCCCCCCCCCCCCCAGCAGAGAGAGCGTAAAGGCGAGCCATTCTTTATCCTGGAACAAAAATCTGTTGAATTGACATTGCAGTCATAAATTCATATTAGAGTATTTATAGAGTAAAATAAAGTTAATTGTCCAACAATAAATAACAATATTTGAAAAATTAAAGTATTAATTTAAGAAAAGCTTAAATCTTAAAGCAAAAATGTTAATCTATCACAGCCAAAGATATTCTACCCATGTATCTTACCTCATGACGTTATCCCTGTTTCAAGCGTCTTCCTATCGTACATTATGGCGTTTTTTTTCTTGATCGAAATGGGCCCGCTGCAAGATGAATATTTTCCGGCATGTGCATCGAATGTCTCTCACATATCAGTGTCGGCCCTTCCCGACCCTTCTTTATTGGACATTATTAGTTTTTTTTTTATCATGATTAGGTTTACACTGTTGACGACAAGACAATGTATTTCAGCAGCTAAATAAAATGCAGGGAGTAGCTTGGCTTACAGCGATTACATAAAATATGAATAAAGGGCTAAAAAATTTAGAATTAACAGAATTTACGGGGAAACCAAGTTGAGAGATGTGTGTGCGTGCGTGCCTACGTGTGTGTGTGTGTGTAAAGAGAGGAATGACAGAAAGACAGAATGAAACACAGAGCGAAGCCTCGAATAGATCTACATTACGACAAAGAGAACAGACTAAGTGTTAGAATAAATGAGAAGATACGCTCCTGGTTCGTTGAATTAGCTAGAATGTATGCTACTGGCTACTGGCCACAAGAAAAACTAGATAAGAATCTATTTCCTTCTTTTCCCTATTCCCACTTTTGACTCTATCCTTGCACTGCTTTCCACGATCAGCCCAAGACCCAAACCAGCCGCTGCTGACATCAAAATAGATTTGTTCAAAATACTTTTAATGTCATGAGAACATTCTTTGACTTCATACTTTGAGTGACACGAGACATGACACACCAATCGTAAACATGACACACTAAATCTAAACAAAGTTTATACAGGGCTATTGTTAGGGACCAAAACAAAATGTAGGCCCCTACGCACTACATATTCAGTACTTAACTGGTTATATCCAGTGACCTGAATCTTTGAGTTCTTTTATTTCTGAATGAATTTATCAAAACATAGTAATCAGATTTAAATATCAGCATAAAATTCTTAAAAAAAGATACTCGATTTTTGCCGTTGAGGAGATAGAAGTTTTATTCTAATCTTTTAAATTACAGACATGCCTTTAAAAGAGAAGATCATTACGTCCAACGTACGTTTATCTAGTCGAGCATGTTAATAAGAGACTTAAAAATGTTTAAGTCATTGGTTTTCCTGGCTGATCAAACTAGAACTGGTATTGTATAAAAAAAAAAAGCATCAAAAATACTTTTTAAAAATTTACCAACACTTCCATTTCAAAGCTGAAACTATAATTAAAAATAAATATTTGGTTCAAAAAGGTACCCAGCCCGTGATTTTGACACCTTCAGCTCCTTTAACAAACGATGTTACTGATTCGGCCAGTAACTATTTTCTCAGCGATAAACATCAACTGTTACATTTTTTAGGAAAAGCGTTAGAGACGTTGTTTTTTTTTTTTTAGATCAGCGTCCATGCAGGTTCCTGAAGGTTCCATGAAGTTCTACTTGAATAGAGCTATTGTAATAATAACCATTTCAGCAGCCAAATAAATGATTTCCGTCACTTGAATGATACACAGCGGTTACACTCTGCAATGATCTATTGACTTGGAAATTAGGCAGATGTCTCGCTCAGATACTTTGTTGTTAAATACCTGGTTATTATGTTATATGCTCTTAAGTAAAACTAAAGCCAACCGCAACTATAAATAAACGTGATGGCTCTTTATTTCAATAATTATTGATTCTTATATATTCAGGTCAGAATTAAAAGAAAATTGTTTATCCACCTTTGGTCCGTTGACTAAATGTAGGTCACAAAAGAAAAAGAAACACGCGCACGCACAAAAAAAACAACACATGTAAAGTCACATGTTTTCAAAATAATTTAAGATGCATAGGCCTAAAACAATAGCCTACCCAAATACTATTGCTTCTGAAGAGTTCCATTAGCATTTGGATAGCAGGTCATTTCTTTTTCTTTTTTATGAAGATATGAGTTTCTTGAATTTCTGACAATTTTTTTTCTATGTGCCATCGACTGGCGCTAAATTTCTCTTTCTATACAGTGACCAATAATGGGTCCTTTTTTTTTTCAATAAACAAAATGAGGCTTATAGTGATCTATTTTTAGATAGTTAGTATTGTTTAATGTATGCATAAGGAACTTTTAGAAGGGGGAGGATGAAAGAGGTAGCAAGTTAGAAGAGACAGAGGGGGTAGAAGAGAAACAGAGGGGGTAGAAGAGAAACAGAGGGGGTAGAAGAGAAACAGAGGGGGTAGAAGAGAAACAGAGGGGGTAGAAGAGAAACAGAGGGGGTAGAAGAGAAACAGAGGGGGTAGAAGAGAAACAGAGGGGGTAGAAGAGAAACAGAGGGGGTAGAAGAGAAACAGAGGGGGTAGAAGAGAAACAGAGGGGGTAGAAGAGAAACAGAGGGGGTAGAAGAGAAACAGAGGGGGTAGAAGAGAAACAGAGGGGGTAGAAGAGAAACAGAGGGGGTAGAAGAGAAACAGAGGGGGTAGAAGAGAAACAGAGGGGGTAGAAGAGAAACAGAGGGGGTAGAAGAGAAACAGAGGTCGGAGAAATAAAGAAAAGGAGACGAAAAGACCCGAAAAGTGAGAGAGAGACCGGCAGGAGATGGAGGGATGGTAGAGACATAAATAGAGGCAGAAGAAAAGGAGAGAGAGAAAGAGAGGTAGGAAAGAGAAAAAGATTTAGGAGAGGTAGAAGAGAAAGAGAGGCAGGAAAGAGAAAGAAAAAAGAGGTAGTAGAGTGAGGGAGAGGTAGGTGAGACAGGTCCGAAAATAAGACAGCTACTAGAGAGAGAGATACTAAAAATAACGCATTATGACGACCACTAACGATTTATTTGGTTGAGCGTTAAATAGTTATTTGCTTTCAAAGTGATCTTAAACAATAAGATTTGAGGAGCGCTGCATTTAGATATCGAGCGCATGCACGAGCAGATAAAATTTCATCAATACTTTTAGATTCTATCAGTAACTTGAACAAGAACAAACTGAGAACAGTAACATAAAAAATGTTTTTTTTTTTTTAAAGGGAGTAAACTGGGTTAAAGGGAGAGAATTGTATAATACTAAACCCTATTGCGCGTCAAAAAGGAAGGATGGTATCGACTTTCCAGTAAATTTAGAAACAGATAACTACCGGAATTATCTTTACAAACTGGAGGCGCGGACTATAAGTGATGTGTGTGTAAGGGAGGGGAGAGCTTAATTAAACACTTGAACGTCACAAACACCACACAAGATTTAAAGAGAGGGGGGAAGGGGGGGATTTAGTTCTCTATTGATGTTATAGTTTGGATCTAGTACCCAGTTTGAAATAATATATTTAGAAATCATTATCTGCAATGTTTTGTAATGACGCATGCATTCAAGCAAACGATGAACTCAATTGGTAGCAATTTATAGTTATTTTTAAACTTCCAGCGTGATAGCAAGAAAATGATCATGTCAACTTTACATCTTTGACAACCTGACAAGGAATTATTTTTTTTTTGTATCAAAAATCAACTATAGAATCTGACTAAAAAATTGATACTTATTTCAAGTATCGTTCCCCACCTCCAAACACTTTGTAAGTCAAAGACTGTCTACCAGTACCACTCTACCTCATAGAACTAAATGCTAAAATTTCGAAGCTCATTTCATAGATGTATCAAATGTCTAAACGGTGTAGATGAGACCAAATGAGATTCCAGCAATCTTCTGACACGTAAAAACTATTTTAATAGCAATTATAAATGTGATGCCCAAAGTATAAGTAGAAAAATATACCAATCTTTAAAAAAAAAACCTCTGTTATACATACATCTTATAGAAGCGATTATTTTGCTATAATCACTAATGAATGTTAGATTTCACATTTTACTTTACTTTGAAAACTGATAACGGTCAAACTAAAGTTTTCTTAGTGTGACCAACGAGCAAGTTATTCACTTCCCAAAGCTACACATCAACTCTCAAATTTCTAGGAAAAGACGTTTACGGTAACTGTGTTCTATCCTCTTCTTTTTTCCATGAAAGTGCGACCTGAATAGAGGAATTGGAAAAGACAAAGAGGAATGTCCAGATAATTAAAGACCGCAAGAATAATGAACAGCGTCAGTGGTGGGATTCATTCTCTTCACCATCTTCGAAATTCACACTTGACACTGGCATATGTAACATTTTCATCTTCCTATTGAAATAACGGTATCGGGGAGATACATGTTGGGTTTATGACATTAGAGAGTGTATAAGTTTGTAATAACATATTTAGTTTTCACATGACGAGTGCACAAGTAACAGATTAAATCCCATTAGATGTTTTACATTTATTGCTGTGAAATTCCTGCATATACACTTTAGATGTACTTGAACAATGAAGGAGTAGTATTTTATTAATTATTATAAATGTCAAAAAACACAGAATTATTACTTAAGAAAATAGAACTGTTTATTATAAACACAAAGTCAACATTGACAATAATTGGAAATCAAAGCATTAAGAGCTCAACATATCAAGCAGAATAAAATTATGCATTAGAATAAGTATTGCTCATATGGAAAAGTCAAAGAGTTTATGTCTTTGTACATCCAGATGAAATTCTGATTTGGAAAATCATTTCTTAAGAAATGAGCGATAGTTGTTTTCTGGTGTGCGCCTTTTCATTATATCATGTTTTCTTTTTAAATACCGGTATGTTAAAGAAGAACCCTTTATTCACTCATACCAGGATATCATATATTGAGAATACAACAGAATCAGACATTGCAGTGACTTTATATGTAAAACAATGAGCAAATTGAAAAACTACTAGAACACAAGCAACACTTGTACAAGGCTTATCCTGTCAATGTAACTGGGCCTCAACACAGACAAGGCTTATCCTGTCAACCTAACTGGCCCTCAACACAGACAAGGCTTATCCTGTCAATCTAACTGGCCCTCAACACAGACAAGGCTTATTTAGTCAATCTAACTGGCCCTCAACACAGACAAGGCTACTTTCCTGCTTATGCTATTTCAAGAAATATAGTATATTATTACTGTGCAATAAATATTTTAAAATTAATGGCTTACATAGAAGAATGTCATTTTATTTAGTGATATAATCTTCTTTCTCAAGAAGGCAAGTAGGTAAGGGAGATAAGCCTAAATAAAGAGTCTAGTAGCTCTAGTACGAAAGTAAGCAAAACAAATAAAATATTACAAGTTTCAAGATCTATCTTATTTAGAAGGAGATTTCTGTTCATATCAGTTTTAGCATTAACTAATTAAATAAGCTGGAAGTAGCAGTTTTTGGTCACACAAACTGAAAAAAAACAAAACATTCATGTGCATGAAATAAATGGAGAAATACTGTTCATCTCATAACAGCCTCATTTGTAATGCCAATATATATTTGTCATGAGCTTAATAGAGACTGATACACCTAGCACTGGTGGCTTCACACAACCAGATCAGTCAGTTCAACAAGTCAATAAATTATCCGTCATTAAAAGATTTTATGAATAATTAAAATAAACTGCAATAAAATTGATTAACTTACAAAACATTTCTTTAGTTTGTACATGAAAAAAAAAAATTTAAATTATATTAATTAATCTGTATAATCCCGATTTCACTAACCACAATGGGTCAAAGTTTGCTAGAATTAGATTATATTGTAAGAAAAGTATTTCACTTACAAAAAAAAAAATTTTGAAGTTAACATGATCAATGTACTATTAAATTAGACAATAGCATTAATTTATTTTAATTTCAACACTGATTTACATTGAATTTTTAACAAATCAAAGTATCTTTCCAAATCTTTCTTTCTCCTGTTATTGATAAAAAGGTAATTAAATTTGCTTCCCATTTTTGCACTGATTAATTTTATTAGCTGTTCCAAATGCCAAAGAAACCTGTTAGCAACATATAATTTTTCTTTTAAATGAACTGTGGGCTTCTCTTATGATTATACTCCTTCTGAAAAGAAAATCTTTAAAAAAAAAGTCTTTAAAAAATCATCTATGATTGAATTGTACAGAATCAAAAACTTAAGAATTTCTAAAGATTTTAAAATTGTTTGTTTTTAATGAAAATCTTAAAAATTTTAACTTTATTATGAGACGACTTTAAGTTGGAAACCACTGCTCTATACAATATAATGCATTTGATTTTGTTTAAACCAATGATCACACTATTCTAAATTCACAATTATGAAGAGAAAAAAAGAAAATCATATTAATACAAGAAAAATAAGCAAAGATCTTATTCAAGAGTGGAGGAGAAAAAACAGCTCTACAATATCTATCAGTCAATTTAAATAGAAATGTTAATATTGCTAATAAAAAGATATCACACATGGAGGGGGGCTGGAGAATATGCATTGAACTAAGAAATGTAATATCAACAAAGTTTTAAATATTAAATAATTCAGAAAAACCTGAATGGTTCACACACAAAAAATGATAAACTAATCAACATTCTACTCTGAGACCATTTGTAATTTATACTATTTAAAGCTTTACTGGCAGTCAGTCAACAACTTAAAGTGATATTTTTTTTTTGTTCAAACAAAAAAATGTTATCAAGAAAAACTTAAAAGAAAAAAGAATCCATGGAATGAATAATCAAATATTAGATCAGTTGTAAGGTACAAGTAAATTATTCAATTAATATATTTTAAATATACATTTTTTTTTTTTAAGTTTTTTTTTACACTTAAAACAATGAATTTCTAAAGAAAAAAAAAGTTTTTTGAGTATTATTTTAAACACTAACCTTGATACTAAATGTAAAACTTTAACATAAAAAAAAAGAAAATGAAGACATTAATAATTGTAAAATTAGATTTAGATTTATACTACAAATGTATTAAATTGTAGAATATGAGTTGTTAATTGAGATTAAACCAGATCTTTTGAATTATAATAAAGTAAGGAAAGGACATTTTACTATGAAGAATAATGAAATTTTTTTAACAAAGTGCATCTGTTTATTCTAAACTTTTTTGGCATCTATCAAAATATTTTATTAAAAAAAATACTGTTTGTATGGCAATTTTCTCACTTATAATATTTAAGGTTTTCGATGTACAGTACACAAAATTTATGCTTCAATAATTTCACATGTACAAGGCATGTACAATGTAAATGTATTTTACTCTACAAATTATTAACTCCTAGTAAAAAATTTGAACTTCCGTAGACAAAGGCTTGATCAGTTTATGTAGCAACAGGGATGAGGGAGTAAAGAACTCAACGATCACAAGATGACAAAAAAAGTTGAAGAACACAAAAAAAAAAAATACAAGTCCAGGATGTGGATGTCAAATGAAACTTCAAAAATAAGAAACAATTATTTTGTCATCTTTCCAGGCATACACAAGAGAGATGATCTTTCAATTTACACTTTCAGGAAATAAAATTAAACAAGAAATGATTTATTTAACATTTTGAAAACATTATTATCTAAATAGATTTAGATAAGTGTAAATAGCAAAGATAACTTAGAAAACAAAAAGTAATTAAAAATAATACCGGTACAGCAACAAAAATACTAAAATTATTACCTAGTGTTCATCAAGATTACTTCCCAGTGGGTTAAAAAAATAACTACACCAAACTGTCTACATTTATAGTATTTCACTTTTAAATAAGTAACACTTAACTATTTATATGTGTCAGAAATTATCTCAGATCTTCTCATAAGTACTTTCTGCTTTACAACCTCTGAATGTAAACACCATGCCATCCTGAAATTACACATAGTAATGCTTATTAATTACATTAAGTAATAAAATCAATAGACTATATTTTGTATGTTCGTGTGTTAAAGTAAAAAAACAAACTATCTTTATCTTTGCGAAGAGTAAATGTAAACTTTGTGAGATGTTTTGTCGCACGCATGCAAGATCTTTTGGTAAGCAACATAATGAATGAAAATTTTTGTCGACACGGCTAATGTATATCTATAGCTATGTTGTTAAGAAGTCTAAATGGGCATAAGTAAATCTGAAAGAAAAAAGTAATTTGAAAAAAAAATACTTAAAATTAAACCGAATCGGTAGTTGTAGGCTTAAATGCTTTATAAAAACACATTGGAGAGTAAATTGTATTATGTAAGTAGTTTATTAGTTTAATAATATGCCTTTATAATGCCCGATATTATGACCTCTGACATTAATTCTATTGTATCGATAAGGGGTGCATGTAATGGTGCCGCGAGTTACGAAAAAGTATGTCAACACAGCTAAAGCTATTTACATTTAGAGTGAATGATTTTATGTAAACTCAAATTTGAAGGTTAATTTTCACTAAATAATGAAATGAATAGTCACTAATTTGTATGTTCATGTGTAAAAGTAAAAAATTTTGTTTTCTTGAATTAGAGCTAATTTAGACCTAGAGATTTTCATTTCTGCGCATTTCTGTCTTGTCACATCATGTAGACATGGCTATGTGATCTGGATACACGAAATTGTAATACTTTCATAAAGTTTGGCAACTTTTTTTTTGATGGTCTTAAGTTTGGGTTAGGGCTACTATACATACGTCACGGTTCCAGTTAGTACCCAAGGAACATTTCTGCCAAATTTTATCAAGATTGGTCAAATGGTTTTGATTTCTATTCGGGACACACATACATACGCCTTACTTTCTGCTTTACAGTGTATATATATATATATATATATATTAGCCATATGTTACCCGCGGCCCGCAGGTCTTAATTTGCGTATCACTTTCGATATAGTCACTGAGAGTGTTTTGTAAACAATTAAACGAAATAATAATGTTATAAGTAAAGTGATTGCATTAATGTAAAAATAGTATGAACGGAGCTATCAAAATAGCTAATCGACCTAAATCCATTTTTACAAATAAAAACATTTGCTTGTAGGCCTACATGTATCTGATTCAAATATGATGAAATGAATAGACTTTATTTTGTATGTTCATGTGTTCAAGTATATGTATCATCTTTGAGTTAGAGATAGATCTAGACTAATCTAGAGTTAAATATTGGCTTGGATAGAGTTTGTTCTGCCCGTGCGCGGAGGCTTCGCTTGGCGCATGTGCGACCCATGAATGGAACTATTAAAATGTATGTCAACACGGCTTTGCAGCTATAGCAAACGAATGTATGAAAAATGCTTTAGAAAAACAAATTTGAATGTTAATTTGATTAAAATATGAATTGAAAAGAAGTTCTATGGTCTTATAGTTGAATTTAAGTTTTAGACCTAGGAATAGAGAGATGTGTAACATTTCGGCCTTGTCTAATGAAAGAATGTACATCAGGAATTCTAAATTGGCAGATATAAGAAACGAATTTATGTAAAAATGCTTTTGAAACATAAATTTGAAAGTTAATTTTATTAAATAATGAAATCAATAGACTTGAATAGACTATATTTTGTATTTTCATGTGTCAAAGTAAAAACCTATCTGTGCAAAGTGTAGTTTTAAAAATTAGATCTAGATCTAGATCCTTTCGATCTAAACATGGTTAACATGGCCTAGATCCATGAAATACTAATTCTTTCATAGAGTTGGGCAACTTTTTTTTTAGGGTCTTTAGATTGTTTTAGGGCTACAATACATACACACTAGGGTCCCAGTTAGTACCCAAGGAACATTTATGCCAAGTTTTATCAAGATTGGTGAAACGATTTTGATTTCTATGCGAGGACATACATACATATGCCTAACTTACTGCTTTATAGTATAGATATATCTATATCTATCTATCTATCTATTTATATATATATATTGATTTATGTATGTAGGCCTACTTATATATATATATACACACAAATATTTAAAATCACTGAAAAGTTATTTTTTGCTTTTACAAAGGCATTGATCAGTAATATAAACAAGTGCGTGCAAGCGTTTATCATGACACCCAACTTTACAAGCTGGA